ATTATGGATGGTGCCTATTTGAAGGGTGATTTTAAGGGAACCATATTGCATGCAGTCGCTACGGATGGGAACAACCAGATAGTACCCCTTGCGCACGAAATCTGCAAAAAAGAGAGTGGTCTTACTTGGACATGGTTTCTTGAAAAGTTGTATGAATGTGTTGGTGATTGTCGAGATTTGACGTTTGTAACTGATAAGGTCGATGCAATTCGGGTTAGTATTGAAAATGTTTTCCACATGCTCATCATGGCGTATATGCTTTTCAGCTACTAGGAAACATAGTACATAGGTTTGGGAAAAATGATAAAACAAAAGTGTTATTTTGGAGGCTTGTGAGAGATTATAAAAAGAAATGTTTTTGAAGATTTGTGGTATAGATTTAGTACTACTAGGCCGCAAGTAGCGGCGTATCTAAGTGAAATTCCACGTGCTAAATGGACTAGAGCATATTCCCCGTCAAAACGGTATGATTACATGACCTCGAATAGTGCAAAGTCCATGAATGCTTTATCTGTAGATGCAAGGAAGATGACTATAGTACCCCTTCTTGAGTTCTTCCGTCGTCTTTCACAAAAATGGTGTAACAAGTGTCGCATCGATGGAGGTATGACTTTAATTTGGACTTTAATTATGTCAAATAATAAGTTCATTATATATATATATATATATATATATATATATATATATATATATATATATATATATGTTCTTTATAGGGCAACGTTCAACAGTACTAACAGTGTTGGCTGAAAAAGTAGTTAGAAAAAATGAAGAGCGTAGGACAGGATGGTCTGTTTCTAGTGTTTCAGATGCAATATATCAAGTGCATGATTTCAAACATGGTGACATAGTTGATATGAGGCAAGATACTTGTACATGCAAATATTTGGAAGGAACTGGGTTGCCTTGTGGTCATGTCATAATGGTCTTAAAGCACTTGAAAAAACTAACTTTTGACATCTGGCTATGGATGCTTACAAAATGGAAACGTACCAAAGTACTTATCAGGAGGTGGTTTACCCCCTTCGTGAACCGTGTGATTGGAAGATTCCTGCTAAGATGATGTTTGTTAAACCCCCGATAATGGATACAAGTCAAGCTGGTAGACCGAAGAACAGAAATCATATCCTGTTACAAGGTGAGGAATCTATAGTAAGAAGGTGTAGTAGATGTGATAGTACAACACATAATGTAGTGACTTGTCCGACATTGGTCCCGATGAAGCAAAATAAGTCTAGAAAAAGTAACTCGACATCAGTTGGTAACACAAAAAGGAAAGGGAAAGGGACACAAGGGACTCACGAGACGCTAGAGACGGACGAGACACAAGAGACGCGCGGGACGCAAGGGACACAAAGAGAAGACTATTGTTCAACGTTTGATTTGAATGATTGATGTCGTATTTATAATTAATTATGTCATGTTTTGGAAGACGTTGATTGTGTACTTTGAAATGGTTTGGTTACTTTAAAGATTATGGGTAATATTATGATCATATTAGTGCATCATTACTAGTAGAATAATAATTAAAACTCTACGATAATACATACAACAAAACAAATATACATAATAAACGTACAACAACAGTAATTAACATAAGGGAATTGCAATGGATACTTTTCTTTCTCCATTGTTATATAGTCACCCCTAATTCTTATTTTATCTTCAAAACGGTCCTTTTGCCGCCTAAGATCTATCATTTTTGTTTCCTTCTCAGCAAGCCATATTTCAGTCAGTTTGATAGTCTTCTTAGTCTTTTTTATCCATTCCTTGTGGTCTTTGATTTTTTTATCAATATGCATCCTTTCCTCAACCTCTTTGCACTTTGCCGCAATGAGGTCACGACATTCAGTGAGAGCCCAAGATGACTCTTTATATTTTCTTTGTTGTTCTTCAGCCCATTGTAATTTTTGCAAAGTATCATCAGACATATATGACTCTCTTATGTTTGGTGATAGGGCAAGAAAAGGTTCGATTGGATCACAATAGAAACAATCAACTTCGTTGCACGAGCAAATATACAAATTTGAAGATGAACTCATATTAAATTTCAAAGTAATTTGTAACTCTTTAACAAAAATTCAGTGATCATCCATGACAATATATAGGCCCTTCAACTCCGAAGAGTGGTGTTTGTCAGTCCGCAGAGCTGTTTGCCAGTCCACAGAGCGGCTTGTCAAGTCATTGTCATCCTTACCTTACAATTATGGGAATACAATTATTTATTAAAAGGTAAACACTATTTATGAAAAACTAAAAAACGTCAATGGACCAAAAGTAAGGTTAACATAGAACCGAATACAAACTAATATTCGTTATGATCCATACATTTCAGTTCAAGTCAATTGTCGTGGAGGTAAGACGACAACACTTTCAACTGGTGTTTCCTAATACCTAACAGTTGGAATAGGATTGTCCGGCTCAGTTTGAAAACCATTTCGATACACCGCGGTAGTTAACTTTAAATTTACCATTTGCTAGATTTCTACAATTTCAAGCCTTTGTAGTGAAGCTATAGCATGCTTACAAGGTATACCACATTTTTTCCATTTACCGCAACTACGAATACTACAGTCTAATTGCACAGTTTCGGTGGTTAAATACTTACTCACTTCATATGTGTTGCCAACAATATGCCTAATCCTACAACCATCGAATTGGATAAATCTTTTATGTAGCAACTTTAGTGCATAAGGGGTTAGAATACCATGAAAATCCCCTGTGAAATGAACTGAATGATAAAACAAAAACTATGATGTCATAATTTATAATAACATATCATTTGAACATTTGAGTGATTGCATAACTTATAATTACCTCCGAATGCAGCACGTTGAACATATACTGCTTGCATTGAGTAATGGACCATTTCAATGATTGTTGTTATTGGAAAGTCATGCCTGTTTGTTCTTATCCAATTGAAAACATCGGGAATATCAATGAATTTAACATTGAAACGTACTTTAGGGAAAAAAGTTCGTACCCATTTTCCAATGGGAATATTGTCAAGCCAATCAAGATCATTCCTATTGATCTCGTGTTGTAAGTTGTTAAAACATGCATAAAAATCAGACGTATTATACGCTTTACAAGTCTTCCAGATCAATTGCTCTACAACTGTATTGCTTCCGGTGGAAACGTGTATTTTCTTAGCTATATGTTTACAACAATAGTCATGATATGAATCAGGGTAGACTCTTTGAACTGCAAAGTCTATGGAATCAGACATATGGCTTATGAAACCAACTTCCGTATTGTCACCTTAATATTATTTAAGCCTCCTCATGAACCATAACCATGAATCATCACAATTTATGGTTCCTAAAGCAAACTCTATGAGAAGTGGTTCATGATTTCCATCTAAAGCAACCGCAATGTACATGGATGTTACCAATTAGAGGTACTTGACCAACGAATATGATTGGTATCATAGACGTGAGAAACGTACAAATCTACCAGTGAAGATATTATTAGCCATATAACAACTTCAAGTAAGTAAATATTTACTATAAGGGATTACATACCACGCATCCCAATGCCACAAACCAAATTTTGAAACGATTGTACTGATCTTTCGCAATGTACGTGAAGATGTTAGGATTGGTTCTTTGCAGATAATGGAAAAAAAAATTAGTAGGTTAAAGAAACTTTTTCTTAATCCCTGCCTGACTGAACTCATTTTCATAATTTTCGACACCTTGTAAAATCGAAAATGCTAATCCAATTTAAAAGGAATCAGTATACATTATTCCGCAGAACTGACTTGTCTGTCCGCATAAATGACTTGTAAGTACGCGTAAATGATTTGTCAGTCCGCGTAACCTATCTTTTTATATATAGTAAACCTTGTCAGTCTGTGATACTAACTTGAAAGTCCGCATAACTGACTTGTCACTCTGCATAACTGACTTGATAGTCCGCGATACTGACTTGTCAGTCCGCATAACCTATCTTTTTATATATAGTAAACCTTTTATCTATATGAAATTCACATCTTTAATTGAAAATAGGGATCATTTCACAAAATAGCGTCCAATGTACCAACTTCTTCGAATGCAGCAAATCCTTCCAAATCGTCAACTCCAACAAATGGTCCATCTCCATGGACGACATCAAAGGTGTTGGTCCTAACACGATGCTGGATTACCGTTTACGAGGGTCTACCAGTAATGGATCCCTTTAATTTCCTTGTTGGTGATGAATGGTCCCACCTAATAGCTTTGTTCAACTATGAGGTGGGACAAGGACAACAACGACTAAAACCCGATATTGTTAGTAAATGGATGGATTTAAAGACTAAAGTAACATGATTCAATCGATGCTACAATTATGAGAAAAAACGACGCTCTGATGCAGATGATGAAGAACTTCTTAAAGATGTGAACGGATATTACTTGTGCGAGTTTGATGGAATTGATTTCAAGTATACGGATGTTTGTAATCTGGTTAAAAATAAACCTTTTTTCATGTAGACGACTGTTTCCATATTTCTAAGGTTTTATGTAATGTTTGTTAGTTGTAATGTTTATGTTTATGATATTTGCAATGTTTTTATGTTTATGTTTACGATATTTGTAATGTTTTTATGTTTATGATATTTGTAATGTTTATTTTGTTTGAATGTATAACAAAAAAAAACACATATTTGTATTAAACAAAATTACTAAAAACAAGTATTTCATATATATATATATATATATATATATATATATATATATATATATGTATACATATATACACACACACACACACACAAAGTTCTCAAAATCAAGTTATATAGTATCCTAAATAATATTTGTTATCCTATTTCTGTAGAGAAATCCTGCATCTCTACGTGGCTTATCAGTTTTCACCGATACACCCGAAACAATCATTTCCATAAACATGCATACGAATACTCCACAATTCTCTCTATCAAGAGTATATTCCTATTATGGCGTGTATACAATATCAATAAACTCCACAGTTGCTTTGTCTTTGTGTCCAACGGGGAAATCGTTCTAGTACTCAATGACATCTAACTCTGAGATAATACTATCTCCAAAACTTTTGAATTCTCCACCAGTAAGGTATTTTGAAAAGAAATTCATGGATCGTGCTGAATCATAAATATCTACTTTCCAGGTATCTAAATATAGCACTGCCATAAACCAATGGGTAGCAACAACATTTATGGGGAATAGAACCTGCAAAAAATACATAAATTAAATAGTCGTAAATTGAGTAATATTTAATATATAAATAAATCATTATTAAACTTAACTAACCATATCCACATCCTTCCATTTATGACGACCTCTGACACCATTTGCTACATGCCTAAAAAGAAATGATTTTCTGAGTTGCAAATTGATTTCTTGAGGATATACCGTCCACCTTGCGTTCGTTGGTCGTCTTTCCACGAGCAGGGCAATCCATATCGCAATATGTTGTACATTTTAAGATAAAAATGTTACAATTATTTATATAAATTATTATCTAAAAAAGTAGTTAAAATTTAAATTTAACGAATGTTTCGAATAAAGTAACCACCGAGAGTCAATAACTACAAGTAACCTCGACCAAAACTCCACATCCAATGGGAGTATATGCATCCTATATTTGGTGTTGAGGTTGGAAGAGATCATTATCCATTCTTTCCAAAAACTCAGCGTACTGGCAACATGAACACTGTCCAACAAGAGCTGATTTGAAACATCATTACTCTCTTCATTCACAATGTCTTTATTTGCTTTTTCAGGACTGTCCATTGCTTTTTTTTTTCCTTGTTTTGGTGATTTTCTTCACTTTTGGTGTGAATTGTGTAACACCCCGTTATTTTTATACTTGTACACTCAACCCTAGTCAATCAAAGTCAAACTTACGTCAACTAATGTCCTTTTTATTGTTTGTATTTTTATTAAGGTTAGAATAATAACCTTTGCATGTTAAAATCCTGAGAAGATGAAGTGTTAAGAAGGGAATCAGTGAAATCCGAGAACATTCACATCCTATTCTTTCTTTTCCCTTCGGACAAACAGCCTCGTAGCCGTGATCATTAACTGAGAACTCGGACCATGAACGAGGCCGTGAACGGCTTTGGGTCATAATCAGCTTCAGACCGCAAACGAGGTTCACGGCCCTCGCATATATATAAATTTCAGCCAACTTTTACTTCATTCTACACTTTCAAACGAAATTCCAACCATTTTCTCTCAAGTATCATCAACCAAGAACAACCTCTCTCCTCAAGAACATGTTAAATTCATCATTTCTCATCATATTCAAGGGATAATCACTAGTTCATTATAATATCTAACATGTATCATTTCTTGATCTTGTTATCATTTCAAGAGCATCCTTCAATCTTCTTATACTAGGCTGAAACCCATTGATTTCACTAGTTTTCATGAAGAACACGCAAAGAACACCCATCTGAAAACTTTTGAATCTTCTTAGAAACTTTCTTAAGATCTTCAGGTGTTCTTCATTCATCAAGAACATTAGGGGCATGAACACATTCAGGGCTGTGAACCTTCATGGGCCATGAACCCCTCTTGGCCGTGAGCTCAATACATCCTCCATTTTAGCTTCTAACACACATATTTGTAAGTTATACTTACAAATTAGTCCAATTTTCAATCATTCCAATGATTATATTAGCTAATTGGTAGCATATGTACTATACAAATTGTTATATATGACTTGTTTTGCTACAAGATTTCACTTGTGGAAATAAACGTCGTATATCAAGTCATCAATCGAATCACCCTCTAAAAGGTGAGTTCACACCCCCGTATTTTCATAATTTTTACAGTTTTAAAGGGGGGGGGGGGGGGGGGGGGGGGGGGAAATACAAGTCTAACACAAGGATTTTGTGTTACCAACAAATAGTTTCAAAATATTTCACAAATGGATTTCAATTATCTTTAAATCACACGGTTTCAAATTGTTTTAAAATGACATCAAGTCTCCAATAGTATTTCAAAATGTTAAATTCTTTAAAAATGTTTTATAAACTTATATTATTCCCCCAAAATCATATATATATATATATATATATATGTGTGTGTGTGTGTATATATATATATATATATATATATAAGATTTAAAGAGCTTAGGACTGATAACTCACTCTATTTCCTTTTCCTTGTTTAGATGTAGGCTTAGGGTATCGGTTATTTGTCCGAATGTCGTTTAAATTTTAGTTATATATATTTGTATATGTATATAAATATAAAGGTTATTTCATTCAATTTCAATACCCTTTGTAACATATCGAGCAAGGGGTTGCATTCTTGAATAATTAGTATCAATACAGAAAGTACATATAAATTATAATAGGTATAATTTATGATTCAAGAACACTAACTCACAAGTCAAGTATACAAGAGTATATTATTTGAAAAAAATAAGGATTTGATTCAACAGTAAACAAGGGTGTACAACTTAGAAATATATTCCAAGTATACTAAACAAGGAACATACTATCAATCATATATTTCAGAATGATTGGGTTTTCATTACTATTATACACGTAATGTTTATATGCTTTTTATAAGGCAATATATTCAGGTTGTTTATTCATTTAAGCAATATAGTTAAAGTCCTGATATTATAACCAGAATCTCCAGTCGGGGATCGAAACAAGTGTATATGGATCTATATTAGGATTGACAATCCCGCACTTGGGCTGCTAGCTACAGTCGGGCATGCACGTCTATGAGTTACAATTGTTATCAACAGTTTTGACGCCTTCAAAGCGTTGTTTCAGGCCATCTAGTCATAGTATGGTTATAATAACTCATCAAAAAGATATTAACAATACGTTAGTGTATAATTAACTAAACATGAGTACATTTTCAAAGTACTAGTTTACAAGATACAATTTACAGTATTACATTACTGTATACAATAACAATCAGTGAAGCCATGCACACTCACTTCTACAGGTTTTACAAAGAAATACAAATACAGAACATTGGTTTACAAAAATAATGGTTTTATGAGATTAAAACTACTTTTCATATACAATAGAAAATATAGGATTCTATGGAATAATTTACATTTCAAAGAATAGGAAACATACTTACAAACATAAATGCATATGCACTCACTCAACTTTATGTTGGTACTCTCTTTTCAAATTACTTGTATTCTCAGGGAATCAGTAAACGGGTACTCCCCGAGCTTTTGAGAAGATGGAGTTGTTTTGAGTCATGTCTTCTGTCTTTTGCTATAACTATTTTGGTGTCAATATACATTGATTAAACACATGTCAAACTTATACTTATTAATGCAATGGTTGTTTTTACTTTGATTACTATAATGCATGTGTTGTGATACCACAAATGAAGTCATCCACCCCCGGACGTTTCCGCCGTCTGGTTTGGGGGTGTGACAGATTGCATCTAAAAAATTAACATGTTAAATAATTATCAATAATGTTATATTTTATAAATATACCAAATTTAAAATATGAGTTTTGTACCGCTATGAACGGAGTCCGCTGATACCAAGGAACACCCCTCTTTCGATGTGGCCTACCAATAAGAGTCATTGTTTTTGTGTGATGTTCACCAACATCGAGTGACAACTCAACATGCGTAGGAGTATACCTAATTTCCCCCTCCAAACCATGACTACCTAAATCATCATGGTTCAACTGTGTACCATGGTAATATGTTTCTTCCTCCTCTTCCTTTTCCTCTCCAAACCCTGTGTCTGGCTCATCTTTTTCTTTAATACACGATCTACTTTAGAAGATAAGTCAACCACAACGCCTAGTAGACGCTTCACTAATTCCTTTGTGCTCGTCTTCTTCTTCTTTACCAACCATTTTGATGTGTTAGTTGAAATATAAGTTCTTTCTATATAAACATGTTGCGAGGAAGAAGCATGCGTGCCAGATTCAGTCAAAGATGTTTTTGACTTGTACTTCTTTCTTCAAGGAGGCAAGGCAACAACAGGTGGACTATTTCGGATCGGACTATGTTGCGGTGGGGGAGAATCTAGACTATTTCGGACCGGAGTATGTTACCGTGGGGAAGACTCTTCATGGTTAAGAGTCCAGTTCACATAGCAAACATAAAACAACAACATCAGCTCCGTCGGGTTTGCCACGACATAAATATGTTGGTTGTTAGGCTACAAAAATCAAATTCTTAGTTTAACATGAAAAACATTGGAATTTGTAAATATATATAATCCTTAATATTAAAAGCATACCAAAGACACGTTGATTATTCGACAACATTGAACCCAAGTTAACGGTGTTTTACTTCTCCACGACCTCATCTGTGGCAATTATGTCTGCGTGTGTATATAAAATTGGGTTTCCTCAAGGAACGTATCCAAAATCCATATCTATGTAAAAAAAATGTAAGCATAAACAGAACTATGATAACTATTTAAATGCATTAGAAACTAACCTTAAACGGAAGCATAAAACCGGGAACAATATACTTGTGTACTTTCTTGGATTCAGGATTGACCAACTTGAATAGTCTAAATTCTTCTATTTTCTTAAACATTCCATGCATCAACCGCGAAGTATAGGTCTAGAAATATGTACCCCATGCAAACCCGCGATTTTCAATTTATTTTTTATAATTACTATTATTGTATATATACACAATCTTTAAATATAATACCTGTTCTAATCATCTATATTATTAGCAAGCTTGTATACTGCCGCGGGAATGCCCGTTTTAAAGTCCCGTCCATGGAGACCTTTCAACATAAAAACAAGCTGGATAAGCATTACAACATCTTCATCCCGAAGTGACAAATAATTCGGGGACATAATGTAGTCTTCTAAACCTTTTAGCCGTAAACGTGCATCAAAAATGTCTGTGAACAACCGAGCATGAAGATTTGAATTTGACCCACCTTTTTCATCATAGAGTAAATCCACATAAGGACCAACTTTTAAATCACAATGAGAATATATTCAGTTTCACCAAAATCCAACTTCATCCCATGTATATCAAAAAGAAACCTCCTCATTTCAAATACTTGTTGAGACCTTACTTCGTGCAACATCATCAAATGCGCTAGTAAGGGACCACCATGTGGGATATGCATTCCTAAGAATATTCCAAACGGCAAAGCTTCAAATAATAGTCGTTGTGATTGTGTTAGGCACAGAAAATAGTCTTTAATAATAGTACCCACCATGCCTTTTAAAGTTAAATCCGTTTTTTGATTGTGATCATCGTGCTACAAAACATAACATTTAATTTTATATAAAACGTTAGTAACTGAAAATAAATAGCAACATACTTTTTATATATAACTAAATTCCTCATATATATATATATATATATATATATATATATATATATATATATAAAGGGATATAAAAGGGCAGAGGATTCTCCGCAGAGTGATGTATTCCCCCCGCGGAATGATCTAAGTCACCAAAAATGGCTCTCCGCAGAGGGCGGAGGTCATTCTGCGGAGAACCCTCTGTGAAGTGATGTATTCCCTCCGCGGAATGATCTAAGTCACCAAAATTGGGTCTCCGCGTAGGCTAGAGGTCATTCTGTGGAGAACCCTTTGTGGAGTGACCTCTAGCCTCCGCGGAGACCCAATTTTGGTGACTTAGATCATTCCGCGGAGGGAATACATCACTCCTCGGAGAATCCTCTGCGGAATGATGTATATCTCAGCAGAATGGATCTTCCCCAAAATCAAACCTATGAATCTTTACATCCCAAATATATATATATATATATATATATATATATATATATATATATATATATATATATATATATATAATCAATTGGGTTTTCGTAACAATTTGAATCATATACGACATTTATCAAAAGAGGGGAATGTGAGAAATACCCGGGAGTCGAATCCATCGGCTAAAATATCGGGGAAATTACCCTCCATCGGTGCTGGATTTTAAGTCGAATATACCCAATCGCCGGCAAATGACATCGTCTGATGTCGTTGTCGCCGGATTTGAAGTCGTCGCAGGAATCCTCGATATCAACAATCGATGCGAAGGGATATATTTGCCAAACCGGAATTGGGGACCAGTGGGGGGACTAAAGAGGAGGTCTGATTTTTTTCAAAAAGATGAGGGTGAAATTACAAAACTACCCTTCTCCGCGGAGGATTCATGGTTCCGCGGTGGTCCGCAGAGGATCCTCCGCAGAACGCATGTCTATATCCGAAATTTTAATTTTTCATATCTAAATTTTTTAATTTACCCCTCACTTTATGCCTATAGCCAGTATTTTCCCTTTCTATTTGGGCTTAGTATAGTTCATTTAAAATAAATATCAAGCAAAATTGCTAAAGTATATATAAATAATAATTAAGATAAAATATTTATATACATATTAATTTGTTGTTCCTTAAGGAACAGTGAATTAATTCTATTGGACCACTTAATTTTTTTTTTCAAACTATCTGTCGCCTGAAATAAAGACCCCTCCTCAAAGCTTCTTCTATCTCTGCTCCTTCCACCGTCTTTTAGATATTAGTGCCCACCACTTATCTTAGTTTTCTCCACATCGCCGCTTCAATCCATCCTTCCAGTTTCAGAAAAAGCAACCATCTCCATCTCCATCTCCATCACCGACAAACTGGATGTCACGTTTTCTGTCTGCTTTCGTCATCATGTCGACGCGTATTGCAATAAATACATATCTAGAAATTGGCTAACAGTCGAAGAAGACGATGATGTCAGAGAGTAAGCGTTGTTCGCTACTTTTTCTTTGGTTGCTGCTTCCCTCTTCTTTTCCCTTCTTCATCAAAACTTTCAGTTTCCTGATTAACGTCTCCTCTACTGAAACCCTAATTTTTTTTATTGTTGATTTATGGTACAAATGCTAGAATATATGAATGATGGGGAGGAGTGAGGTCAACTGATCTCTGATATAATTTGAATCTAGTAAGAAAAATTGATCAATATCACTGAACTTTTTCAGAAATTTTGACATTTGGGAATTGGGCTCATTTAAGAGATATCTGAAGAAACCGATTGTAAGTTAATTGTTCTCTTTCAATTGATTACAGTTTAATAGAAAAGGTCTCCAATTACACATGAAATTTAATAATGCCCTAACCGGTTGATATTGAGTTTTGAAGTTGAGTTTCACAATGTATCCCAACTGCTTGATGAAATGCTTGAACCAGATTCTCCTTTACTATATTTTTCCACACTTACTATAGGTTTCCTATAGTGAAAAGCAGATGCTAAACCTTTTGAAATAACCATTTTACCCCCATTTTATTTGCTGATAAGTTCCAACTTGAATTAAAATGTGTGATAATACATTGGTTTTCTTTTTATGATTACCATTAAAATCTAAACAAAACACTATTTGATAAAAAATAGTTAAAAAAAACAATTTGTTATTTTGCTACATTTGTAAAACCAATAGAATGCTATAAAAGGCAAGAAAAACATATACTTTCCTTCTTTTTACCGAGATGTGTGGGATCACATCCGGAATCTGTTTTATCCAGGTGGCAAGCGACAGCTGTATGGCTACCTGGCAATGAAATGAGATTTGGATTTCTTCAATCAACATTGTGAAGGTGTGTTGAATTTACTTTTCCAATTCCATTCTGGTGCTTTGAATCTAAAGATGGAATTTGTTGTTTAGGGTAATCAAAGGTTAGGTCACAAATGCTAAGCGTAACAACAGGAGTTGGGCCAACTCTAAGCTGAGGGACCAAAGTTGACAAATCGTGAAACTTTGGTGGTGAAAATCTGAAGTGCAATTGGCAGATTATATATCTATATCAATTCAAGAATCAAACAAATGAAATGAAATTTAAGAATGGTAAGGTACATTCATAGTACAGACACCAATCAGTTGATCTAGATATATATATATATTTAAATGGATTTAAGAGTTCCAACTTAACAAAATGTGTTAAGTAAATAAGTTAATATATGGTTTATCCGTTCATTGAGTCAACGGATATATTTAGTAACATTTGAAGTGAAACTCCCTTTATGTATTTAACTATTATAGGAATCCATTACTCATCTCCAATAATTTTACTATTTTATATTTTATTGAAACCATATCAAAGCACATTATATAGTTATTTCCTACTAATGCAGCACTTTTCGTTTATTGGTGCAATACCAAACACTTTAGAACAGGGAAGATGGACCTTCACATTTCCCCTAATAAATAATGTTGTGAATAAAATGCATTTGCCAAAAGAGCCTTACTGTTATTTGTTGGGTGATTCATGGATCCAAATTTGAAAACAACAATGTATTGTCATGCTCATTAATGACTCTAATTGAGTTTGCATTAACTATAACAAAAAAAAATTGAAGGCTTCCGACACCCACAAAGTGGGGGACACTTCTCTAGTTTATATTAAAACTGAAAGTAATATAAAGATTATAGTTAAACGTTTAAAACTTTAAAACTAAAGGGTTGAAAATGAAAACAAGATTGAAACGTTGGGTGGATTGATGGGGGCCACCACCCCATTTTTACAAAGAGAAATGAAACAACCAATGTTTTGAAATCGGTTTGAATAGCAGGTTGGATCGGGAACCGAGGGAGAGGGTGGTTCAATTATCATCGGTTTTATGGTGATTTATGAACGATTGAAACGGCTGATTTTTAGAAAAACCTGGTTGAACCGGTAAAAATAAACCGGTTGAACTGGTTAAACCACAAAAAAAAAAAAAAAAACATGGGAAAGAACCATTTGCATAATAAACTTTGGTGATTTTTTTTTTTTCAAATCTATTTAGTTTTCTCTAAATAAAAACATATAGTAAATGTTCTAATGTTTTTTTTTATATGTTTTATTCATCTAAAACTATATTTTGTTTTGGTATTATATATATATATATATATATATATATATATATATATTATATATATATATATATATATATATTTTGACGTATATGGATTGATGTAAAACACTAAAACTTATGGTTATGTGTTATTTTAATGTATTTGGATTAATCTACAGCTTATTTTATGTATATTTTTAATGTTTGAACTAGTAAGCGTCAAATTCATGATTTATATATGTATGTATGTGTATGAAATAAGAAGAAATATGAAAATTATAGAAACCAGTTGCCCCGGCGGTTGAACCGGGAATCGGTCACCATACCGGTTCAACTAAAAAAATCGGTTTTTAAAACATTGGAAACAACCCTATTTTTACAAGGAGAAAGCAAAATTAACATATTTTTACAAAGAAACTCACCCTTTTTATATGTACTTAAAACAAACGGTTTTAACGCAAACTCATTTAATACATTACTCGATTGGTACAACCCATCCATTTTGCCATATTGTAAAGTTGTTAAACTATTTAAACCAAAACAAATTAACCTAGTTTAGAACATAAAAGTAAATGATTGTAATTGGAACTCATTTAACACGATACCTAACCCATCCAACCCATTATTTTTATCAACTTTAAAACAATACTTGTCAACTTGGGTCCTAAAAATAAGGAGGATGCCTTTGTGTGAATAGAGAAAGTTTCCCACAAAACTTCAAAAAAGATTCAAGAGTCTTTCCCCCTTTTCTCTTTCTTGAAACCCTCAAACTGACTATCTTAACATGATTAAGATATTGGCATCAATCCACCTATTCTTATTAATCTATCTATCATTCACCAGTTTCTTGGCACAATCTGCCCCTCAGAATGCAATAGTATCTCAAGTTCCTGGGTTTAATGGCATTCTGCCCTCCAAACACTACGCTGGGTACTCTTAATGTTTGCTTTCTTCCCTTCTTTCTTGATGTTTTTAGGAAAAGATTTGAGCTTTCTTGATGTTTTTTTGTTCGTTTTGCATAATCTTTGATGGGTTTACAGGTATGTGACACTAAATGAAAACCATGGGAAAAAATTATATTATTATTATGTGCTTTCAGAAAGAGACCCTTCTAAGGATCCAGTGGTTCTTTGGCTCAATGGTGGCCCTGGTTGCTCCAGTTTTGATGGGTTTGTTTTCGGACAAGGTATACTACACTTTTCATCACTGTTTTATTAGAAGCATGTTTATCTTGATTTATTTTCATATAATTATAATCCAGTTTACAAGTTTGTAAAGATAAGGGATATGTTGACACCATGTCATGTTAACAAGACACATAGATGATGGCATAATTGGAAGGCAGAAAGGATGAAAATAAGGGAGGAACATGTGTACATAATAATTCAAGTGAAAGGTGCTCTTACCTATAGTTGGTCAAGTTAGTAGCTTTTGAGGAATCGAATTATAAAAAAGCACACAAATTGAGAGTTCTTTAGAACTCTTGTGAAAAAGTATTTGGCTTACAACAAAAAGTCTCTCCAAAAAGAACATGAAACACCCCTCGTAGGGCATGTTCGGGAAATAGTAATATCTTAACTTTAGAGTAAATCTTTGTAAATAGTGGAAAATCCTAAATCTCTCAAAATGTTTAAGCTAATAAATGTTTTAATAAATGTACAATGCGTATCAATCCCTATCAAATACAAACTAAAAGTAGAATGTCCACTATCTCCAAGGCCATCTGTAGGTTTATTCTCTTTGTAACTCTTCTCATCTCATCATCTCTATAAGATCTCACCGAAACCTAGCACCCGAGTCACATGTCCAGAATAGTATGTTAGGATATAAAGTCTAGTGAGTTACTCAAGGGTCAGACAATGTATAGAATCAACAATTTATACAAACCTTTCAAAAAGCTCTTTCTTCTTAAATCCTAAAAATCTCTCTAAGTTCTTAACTATGTATAAATGAAAAAATAGGTTCCTACATAGGGGTTTCACCCTACACTCCACATGTACTCAAAATTTCACCAAGATCAAGTGTTGCTCTCCCTGTCTCTCTTAAACCCTCATCATCACCATTAGAGACCTTAAGCGATCATCTTATAGGTATTTATACACATCCTTTACAAATTTTACTCTTTATTTGTTCAACATTCAAATAATTATCTCTTTCTTGAATAGAGCTTTCGTCCCTCAAGAAGTGGTAATTTCCTCAAAGTCACCAAGACTCATCATTTATCTCAAACAAAGGTTCAAGTACCACCAGAGATAGCAATACTTTAAAATTTAACTTACCTAAATGTTTATCTTGAGAAATCTCTGTCTCTCTCCAATCTATTTTAATTCACCTACCACACAAATCTCAATTAAATATCAACAGTCATATCCTGACACTACTTAGTCCCTGTCGCCATGGTGGTTCGCCTGCAGTGACTCGAGGGCATGAGGCATAGCCTCATGTTTGCACCGGGGGATTAGTCGGTGCACGAAAGCTGACCCAAAACCCTTGTTAGGGAAGTTCCCTTTCCAAAAAAATATATCAAACAATCAAATAAAAAAATAGTATACATCCCATCACAAGGTTAAAATAATTTAACCTTTATTCACGGGTGTTAGATTGCTTAATCAGTCTTAAGAACAACGGGATGTTGTGTTGCAGGTCCATTTGATTTTGAGAAAACTGAAAGCATGCCGAAGCTTCATATAAATCCTTATGCATGGAACAAGGTTTATATATACCAATGTTTTCGATCTCATCAAAACTAATTTGATAATCAGTTTGAATGCAAGAAATAGCAACACACTTTCATTGATTAGTTTATTTTAGTATCCTACTTTTATTCCTTCCTACTACATTGTATTATTAAAAATTTATCCAATTAAAGCAATGCTATCCAAATACAAGGCAACTTTCACTCATAATTTGTTAGAATTTTTTAAAATGTAATGTCTAAATCAGAAATTTTTTTTAAGTATAATAGTAAAGTTGGTTAGATTTTTCAATGTACAACACGCCTAAATAAGAAAAGGAAAATGCAAGTACAATGAAAGTGGAATGTTATGATACAAAAATAAATAAAAGTATGTTGCTATTACATAAATTTAGCCCTTCATAATGTTACTAATTACATAAAGTTGATCAACAGCAAAAATTATAATTCTAGTTGCGAATCTAATTTCACTACTAGAAAACATAGGGTTTTCCTACGAAAAATAGCTACGGAAATTTTCCGTAGCTAATTAGCTACGGAATTGCTACGGATTAGCTACAGAATGGGATGCCCTAATTTAGTAACGGAATAGCTACGGAATAGCTACGAAATAGTTACGGACGTCAGTCTGTAGCTATTCCGTAGCTAATTAGCTACAGAATTGCTACGGAATAGCTACATATGCTAATCCGTAGCTATTCCGTAGCTAATTAGCTACGGAATGGCTACGGGATACCTACAAATACTATTTACCTACGGATTAGCTACGGAGTATGCTTTCCGTTAGAACTCCGTAGCTAATCCGTAGCTAAGTAGCTACGGATTTTTCTTATTTTTGATTTTTCGGGCACCAAACGTCGTTTTTTTCGCTTCGTTTTTTTCACACCTCTACTATAGATGATTATCTATATTTTCACCAACTTATAGCTATTAATATCGTTCATAAAGTCGTGTGCTCTTTCGGGATCAAGTACTCGTTTCACAGTTTAACATTGTAATGCCTATATTTTTCACCAACTTCTGATGGATTATGTTTTTTTATATATATTTATATACATGAATGAGTTGTGGTATATGTGTACGTGTATATGTGTATGTATACGTGTTTGTGAGATGTATGTGAACGTATTCATAAGCATTATAGTGTTAAACCACTAAACGAGCAATGGATCTCGTATATATACACGCCTTTATATATGATATTAATAGCTATAAATTGGTGAAAATATAGATAATCATGTATAATAGAGGTGTGAAAAAAATGGAGCGAAAAAAACGACGTTTGGTGCCCGAAAAATCAAAAATAAGAAAAATCCGTAGCAAATCCGTAGCTAATTAGCTACGGAATAGCTACGGAATTCTAACGGAAACCATATTCCGTAGCTAATCCGTAGTTAATTACCTACAGATTAGCTACAGAATATGTTTTCCGTTAGAATTCCATAGCTATTCCGTAACTAATTAGCTACGGATTTGCTACGGATTTTTCTTATTTTTGATTTTTCGGGCACCAAACGTCATTTTATTTCGCTCCATTTTTTTCACACCTCTATTATACATGATTATCTATATTTTCACCAATCTATAGCTATTAATATCATTTATAAAGTCGTGTATACATACGAGATTCATTGCTCGTTTAGTTGTTTAACACTATAATGCTTATGAATACGTTCACATACATCTCACAAACTCATATACATCATCATCAACAACATCAACATCATCATCACTATCATCATCATCATCATCATCACCATCATCACCACCATCATCATCATCATCATCATCATCATCATCATCACCACCACCACCACCATCACTATCACCGTTATCACCATCACCATCACCATCATCACCATCACCATCACCATCACCATCACCATCACCATTACCATCAACATCAATATCAACATCACCATCACCATCACCATCACCATCACCATCACCATCACCATCACCATCACCATCACCACCACCACCACCACCGCCACTACCATCACCACCTATTCACCACCATCTCCATCACCATCACCATCACCACCATCATCACCACCACCATCATCACACCACCATCACCATTACCATTACTATCACCATCACCATCACCACCACCATCATCACACCACCATCACTATCACCATCACCACCTATTCACCACCATCTCCATCACCATCACCATCACCACCATCATCACCACCACCATCATCACACCACCATCACCATCACCATCACTATCACCATCACCACCATCATCACTATCACCATCACCACCACCATCACCATCACCATCATCACCATCACCATCATCACCATCACCATCACCATCACCACCATCACCACCATCACCATCACCACCATCACCATCACCATCACTACCACCACCATCATCACTATCACCATCATCACACCACCATCACCATCACCACCATCACCATCACCATCACTATCACCATCACCACCACCATCAACATCACCACCATCACCACCATCACCATCACCATCACTACCACCATCATCATCACTATCACCATCATCACACCACCATCACCATCACCACCGTCATCACTATCACCATCACCATTACCATCATCGCCATCATCAATATCACAACCATCATCACTATCATCATCACATCATTTTCACCATCATCATCATCATCATCACCACTACCACAATCATCATCATCATCGTCACAACGACCACCACTACCACCATCATCATCACCACCATCACCATCATCATCACCACCATCACCATCATCACCGTCACCACCATCACCACCATCATCACTATAATCACCCCCATCATCATCATTACCATCATCACCCCCTTCATCATCATCATCATCATCATCACCATCATCACCATCTTCACCACCACCACCATCATCATCACCATCATCAATATCACAACCATCACCACCATCATCACCAGCACCAACACCATCACCATCACCATCATCATCATAAATAAAAAAATCAATGTTCGTTTTTTCTTCGTTTTTTTCACACTTCTATTAACTGTTCGTGTCTTAAATATGTAAAAAAAATTCTCAAAAAAAAAAATTAAGATTATAATAATAATAATAATAATAATAATAATAATAATAATGGAAATAATAATAATAAATATTATAATAATAATAATAATAATAATAATAATAATAATAATAATAATAGAAATAATAATAATAATAATAATAATAATAATAATAGAAATAATAATAATAATAATAATAATAATAATAATAATAATAATAATAATAATAATAATAGATTAAAGGAGCACCGCTCGTCCTTTCTTCTCCTCCTTTCTTCTCCCTTTTCCGCCTCCGACTTCTCCTCCTTTCTCCTTCATTTTTTCCCGTCCTCCGCTCCTTAAACGCGACCACCGCTCGTCCGGTCGATTGCTGCCTCCATCTCCGAAGAATAGTCGCTGCTGCAAGGAGACGAAGTCGAAGACACACACGGACACATAGCCTTGTTCGACGAAGATGCAGTTGCGTTCGTCGACCTGCTTCTCCGTTTTTCTAATCTACAGTCTGTGTCGCCATCTCCATCTGCCCTCCCCATCTCGCCGGCGCATCTGCCCTCCTAATCTCACCGCCTCCTTGCTCGATTTCTTCCCCAAGAAAGGTAAAACCCTAGTTTTTTTTATTTTTTATTTTTTATTTTTTATTTTTTTTTATATATTACTTTGTGTATAAAGGGGCGGAGCACATTGCCCCTGGTGGTGGTAGGGTATGCATTGTGCGTAGTGGCGGTGTTGGGATTTTGGCGGTGGATGTGGTCTCATCTCTACCACGGTTGTGGGTTTTGGATTCACCGGCGGGACAACAAGTGCTGGCACTTCATATTCTGCCTAGAATGTGTCCGAAGGAGTTCCAATCGCCGGTGGTGGTTTAGAGTCCAAGAAAATATGATTTAGATTCCAAGCTTTTTCATTAATGTCATAACTTAATCAATTTATATACATTTGCATGTTAATCAGATTGATATTTAATTGAAATTAGGTGAACTATTATTATAATTTAATATTTTAATATTTGCAATACCTTGTATTTATCATTGTGGTATTTCTTGATTGATATTTTAATTGTCATTAGGTACTACAATTCTACAAACCGGGTGAAATGAAAATTATAGCGTTATGATCTACAAACACGGAAGGTTTGTAAATATCAAATAGGAAACAAAGTAACAAACAAAATTAGATGAATCTTTAAAATATTATGGAAAGTAAATGATAGAAATAGTAAATCTTGTAGGTTTTATATAACTCCATAGTGTTATTTATTAGGAGGAACGGAGATAATAGAAACAACAACAAATCACAAAGGATGCGACAAAGATCAACAGTACAATAGACAACTAGAATTATTTAAAGAATACCACATATATTGATATATAAAGACAATGAGTGATGTACAAATGCGCACAAAGTTGGTTGATTTCTGTACAAAGTTGAAGAGGCACTTTGCCCAATATGTTCTTAGACAGGAAGGGATGATACAAAAGTAGGTTGTTATTTTGGCAGGTGCTTCCTTTAGCCCGTGAGTTTTTGCAGCTGCTTCTTCGTGCCAAACTAATGTTCTTTTATTTTGAAGGTGAGTATACAATGGTTCATTATTTTTTACAATAGTTTATTATTTTTTACAATCTACCAAGCAATTTTATTATATATTTGGCAGGTTTATATAACATATATTAAAGCATGCAGCAAGCATTCTATGAATCAAAGACAGAGGTATATCTTAACATTCTCTTAAATAAATTAAAAACTTCAAGTGAATTGTGTCTTGTGTTGTAGGTGGTTACAATTCATCATTATCGAAACAAAAGGCAAATGAAGGTTGGAGATTAAAAGTTATGTATATCGCTATAAGTATTATAAAAAAATGCATTGTTATAATAAACTAAAGTACATTGCTATTATTGTTTAAGTATTGAATTGTGTTATAATTTTTTTGGGTTGATAGGTTGTGTGCAGAAGTTTCTACCATAGAACAACAACAACAAATGAAAGAACAAATGGAAATGGTTATGTGGATGCTGAATATGTATGGAAATCAACCCGATGCTCCCCTCGATAATCCACCTTAGGACAATTGATAAGTATTTTGGAACAATTGAATTTGTAAACACTTGATATTGTTTGTTTGTGCTTACTTTTGTATGGTATTTTGGACAATGGAATAAAATGTGTCAAACTTGGTATTTGGGATGTTTTTTGATGTATTTTATATGGTTTTTGGGACAAATCTGAATTGAATGTGGTATTTGACAAAAAAATTGGAAGATTTTAAATTATTTTTTTTTAAAATAAAAACGAAGCTAGCTACGGAATAGCTACGGATTTCCGTAGCTATTTAGGTCCGTAGCTATTCCGTAGCTATGTGCATCCGTAGCTATTCCGTAGCTATTTAGGTCCGTAGCTATTCCGTAGCTATGTGCATCCGTAGCTATTCCGTAGGAATTCCGTAGCTATTTTTTCCGTAGCTATTCTGTAGCTATGGTAGCTACGGAATTTTCCGTAGCTATTCAGTAGCGGTTCCGTAGCTAATCCGTAGCTATAATTTAGCCACGGGCCATTATGCTACATCCATTTTTCCGTAGCAATTCCGTAGCTATCCGCTTATTGCTACGGAATAGCTACGGATTGTGCCGTAGCTATTGATCAAGTTTTCTAGTAGTGTTTGCAAGGTTTCAAGTATGATATTTTTGGACTCTCCTGTTGGAGTTGGAATGTCTTACTCCAGGAATAGATCCGACTATATCACAAGTGATAAAATAACGACTTTAGATTCCCACAAATTTCTCCTTGAGGTATTCTCGAGAAAAAAAAAAAAAAAACAACATGCACCTTTTAGCACGTGTATTCTATTTTCAGATATTAACATATTTGCATTTGGGGTTTGTGTGAATTTAGTGGTTCAAGTTATATCCTGAATACCTTTCAAATCCTTTTTTCATCGCGGGTGAGGCATTTGCTGGAATTTACATCCCTCTATTATCTGATCAAGTGATGAAAGGTAAATATTTGTGCATTGGACCCACACAAACCAGGTTTATTCTGAGTAAATTATGATAATGCCCTTCTCAATTTTTTTTAGGACTTGAAGCTGGTGATAAACCCACTCTCAACTTCAAGGTGCATCTCCCATTAAAAACGTTGTGATACACACACACATACACACTCTCAGCTATTGCCTTGACCTAAATTCATTAGATAATTATACAGGGTTACATTATCGGAAATGGAATTTGCGATGAAGTGTTTGATCACAATGCTATTGTTCCATTCGCACATGGGATGGGCCTCATTTCGGATGAATTATATCAGGTAATATTCCAATGTTCCAACAACGGATCCTTTGACTTTGTACGTAGCTCAAACCTATCATGCTTTAAGTTCCAAATTGACATGGATTTACGTTGAAAATTTGACATCCATGGGGTCTTTTTGTAGTAAATGGTTTAGGGTTAATATATTTATAATTCCAGGAAAGACTTTAAGAATATACAAATCAACTAAAGAAGTTATGAACTAGTCGTTTCGACTTTAAAAGACAAACCCTTCGCTCTTCAGTTGCACCTTTGACTTTGGAGGTATGTTCAAGAAATTTCTAACAGAAGTAAGGAATTAATGTAATATGGATTATAGCCTGAACTTGGTAGTGATAAGTACCTAGAGAACAGTGACAGTTTTAAGTTAGTAGTAGTGTAAATGTTTTTAATTAAAGATTGTTATCATAACTTCACCCTAAGCACGTACAGGATGTTACAAAGGTGTGTGAAGGGAACTTCTACAAACCTCCAAGCCTAGATTGTGAATTCCAGCTTGACAAAGTTTACCAAGTAATCGTCTTTTTCTTTCTTTATTCTTAAAAAAAAAAAATTAAATTACGTGTGTTCTATGACACACTTGTTTACGTTGGATTTGAACGCGTGCATATCCAGCATCTTGATGGTCTAAACGTGGATAACATTATCAAACCATGCTTTATTGGAAAAAAGATTAGACATGAAAATACAAAATTGCGACTGAGCTTTAGGAAATTGGGTGAGACTGAAAGGCCACTTCCTGTGCGAACCAGAATGTTTGGGCGATGGCCTTTTAAAGCTGCGGTGAAGCCTGGTTATGCGCCGTCTTGGCTGGAGCTTCTCAACGCCACACAAATTCGAATGTTCAGTAAGTCATTCAAACATAATCATGAAGTCAGATACTTTTAGTGGGCCCCATTTGTTAGCCTTATGTGTTTTTCTACTTTTGTAGGACGATAGTGTGGCAATTACATGGCTAAACAACGAAGAAGTTCCAAAGGCAATTCACGCCGACCCGGTAAGATATAATAGGTTTCCCTTTATAGCTAGATTATGCCGATTGAAAGTGAAGTTAAACATTTAATGGATACTTCAGATTAGTAAAGCTGGAAAATGGGAGATATGTACGGGCAGGGTAAAATATAATTCAGAACTTGTAACCGTGATTGACTACCACAAAAAACTTACAGCCTCTTATTTACAGGTATACCCATCTCTAGTGTAACCTTGCTATGCTTTTCTTATACGCGTTAGCCAGGTAATCAAATCAACAAAATATGTATGCTTTTATTGTCGTTATTTGTTAATATTTAGTAACATGTTTTATAGACTAGAAATCTGTATTTATCCTTATATTTATAGATTGTATGTCGAGTATATCATGAGGAACCTTCTCAACGGGAAGAACAGTCTCAAATTTTGTCAACTTAGTCCGAATGAAGTAGCAAAATGGTAGAATACACGTTTTCTTCTCGTTTAAATTTAAAATCCTCCATTATCCACAGTTACGTTACGGGACTATCTCCGGCAAAGGAAGCCATAACATAAACACTGTTTTGGTCAAACAAATATCTTAATCTTGTCCCTGCGATGGAAGCATAGTGGTTGAGGTGCGATATTCGATACAGGAGTTCCCAGGTTGCCCAAAAAATTGCAAGTGCTCCGAGATCGATTGACCTATGGGCCTTGGGGTGGGTTCGGCGTTGTGTGGTTTACCATTTGTTTTGAGATCTTACTCCTCCATAGAGTGAAGTTATTCTTACTGATGAACTTATATATCATCACATGAGGGGTTATTACTTTGTTTCTTTGCTACCCAAAACACCTTGAAAAAATACCCTTCACTCACTGATTTCCCACGGCCCAGGCCAAGAATTTTATACATCGATATACATTGGATGTTGAAAATATAGTCTTTATGACTAGCGACAAATCCTACCTAGGTGGGTGAAGAAACCTTTACTGGGTTTATTAGTTTAAGCTCCACTCAAGATTTCAAGAGAAAAACTGTTCTGGTAGGTTTTATTTTTTATGAAAGGTTGCACCTTTTCATAAACCATTATGGTTGTTAGGAATTGTTACAGAATGATTGTTTAATTAAAAGTGAGGATTAAACCTCATATAAATAGGGATACATAAATGCTTTTGGTCTAACCTAAACCCTAAGGGCCTTTTTTTGGAAACGGCAAATGATTAATCAGAAGCCTACTCGCATATTTCAACGAGCACCCCGGGTTCGAGCTATTTTACAGAGCAAACCCACCCCCTATAGGAAACCCCAAGGGCCTTGGGTCTAAACCCTAGATGCTTACATACAAACACCCCCCCCCCCCCCCCCCACCCCCCCACACACACATTTTGGTCGAGAGAAGTCAATTAAACTGGAAAATAAACAAAAGAACAAAAATTAAAAAACATAAATGAAGACATCATCAACAACGTTGGCAAAGCTCTAATGCTGGCGGCTAACAACGACTGCTCTTCGGAGAAAGAAAGAGAAGAAGCATCGGCTAGTGGCGGTTCCGCTATAGAAGAAGAGAGGGACGACGATGGTGATAATTGGCGACAAAGGAGTAGAGGAGTCTGACGCAGCGCGAAAGAAAACAGAACAGAAAGAGGGTTCGAGCTGCGGTGGATGGAGCCGATTCCGACTGACTTAGAAAAGAGATCTGAAGAAGATGCGAGTTGAGGAGGAGGCAAAAGGCTCCAGGGCCATTCAAGGAAGAGGCATAAGACAAGGCAGCTGAAGAAGCCGATGAAAGAGCTCTGGTTTGGTGCCGATAACTATTTTATTATTTAGGATGAGAGAAAAAAAAAAGGAAAAATAAAGAGCATAATGAAGGCACCTCAGATGACTATGAGAGAATGCTGACGTAGGTAGAGGGTGACGGCTAAGGGTTATGGTCAACAGTAGAGTTTTAACCTAAAGCTCTAATATCATGTTATAGAATAGATTGTTTGATGAATAGTGAGAGTTAAACCTCATATAAATAGGAATACATAAGGGGCCCTTGGCCTAACCTAAACCTAAGGGCTTTGGGCCTAAACTGTAGATACTAACATACTAACACGAATTAAGTTTATAAAGGCATTTATTTTCCTTTTATTTTGTTAATCACATTTTCACATCCTTAAGATTATCATAGAAAAATGCAACTTATTGCGTTCATGAGAAGGGATTGTGGGATCATTGCATAACTTCTCTAAACTCGAGGAGGTCTTATGAAGATCTTACCCGACTAACCCAAATATACAATAGTGTGAGCTACTTATCCTTAAGGATAGTGACTCTGTCATGTCCTCCTTTTACTATTTTTCACAATTTCGTTTCTGTTTTTTACACACTAGTGCTAATACCGGGTAAAAAATTTGTGTTTCTTTTTGTATGTGAACTGTGTGCTTGATTCTCTACTCAATCCCAAAGCATAATTCTTTTGCAGAGATATCCCAATTGTGGAATCCAAACCGAAACGAATGACAAATCCCATAAAATCAGGACAAAATATTACCAACTTATAGATTGAAAACAAACCCAGAAAAAACATCACACCCATGTTCTTAATCCCTCTGTCTTGATTGATATGACCTCTATAAAGTTGAACTTGAGTCGTCACCCGATCAAAATATTTCATCCCTTTGATTGATTACTGAAAGTAGGGACAAGAAAACTTTCTTGATTGAAACCCTCCACCCTCTTTATGATTGCAATTTCTTGTAACAGTGGAAGAAAACAAAGAACTGAAGAATGGAATAATCAAATGAAAATGGACAAGAATGGCTAACAATTATAGATTCATTATAGCTTCATTATTGCCTACGAAAAGGACAAGGAAACAACCACTTCGCTAATATATATCCTACGACCTAATTGGGATCAGTTTTGACATCGAATTTAATTAGTTACAGAATAGTCCTTGAACATTCAATAAGGCCATATTTCACCACATCAACCCTAAATCACATCTTATAAAGTCAATTCCCATTAGGTCGTAGGTAAAGGAGAGGTTAGATGTAGATAATCAACTAGATATCTTTGTTAAGTCATATCATTGACACATCTCTCTTAAACCTATAAGGCTACAAGGTGTCGTAAGTGCTTACTGGCGGTATCCGACGTGTCATAATTCATCGCTCATCTCCGGTGAAAACTAGGACGTGAGGTCGTTTTACCGTCGGTGAAATACTGGCGGCGGCTTTCTACCAGGTGTGAAGATTCGAAATTTTGACTGTTTGGGAGAACGGAACGTTACCAAACGGGTGGCAATGGCTATTTGGCAAAATTGACTTTTTTTAAGAAAAAAAAAATCTACTGTATATACAATTCAATTTTTTAAAATTTAACCATACTATATACACTCTCAACAAACATTTTTCATTGAAAACGTCTTCCAACAATCCAAACTCTTCCAAACAAAATGTTCCAAACCAAAATGTTAACAACTCTTTCGTACTTTTCGGCTACGATCCATCATCACCACCACCTTACCAGCCATAAATGGATAGTGTTTCTAACTATTAATCACAATTCCAAATGCCCCAACAATTCCATTTCCTATCTTAACCCCAAACCCAACCATCTCAAACCCAATTTTCATCCCAACTATCTTTCACACCTTCAATCGAAATTGTTTTTATCCCGAACACGAAGAACAACAACAAAAACCTCAACAACAAAAGAAAGGGAAGGCTGATCCAAGAAGATGGACACAAAAAGAAAAGATTGAGTTAGCAAAGGCATGGCTCGACATATCCGAAGATGATGGCACGGAAAAGGGTCAAAATCGTGATCAATTATGGTTATCACTGAGCAACTTTGTACGTGAATGGGTCAAAATCCAAAGTATCAGACCTCTGACCAATATAAATACAAATGGGATCTTATGAACAAACTCGTCACACAATGGAATGAAATTTACACAAACTTTGAAAAGCAATGGACTAGCGGAGAAAGTGAAGTGAGTTTGTTGAAAAAAAAACACACACACTACATTCCAAGATGATATGCTAAAGTCTTTTAAGTTTATTCGTGTGTGGGAAGTTGTCAAAAGAAACATTAGGTGGAGGGAACTTGCAACATATGAAGAAACTGCTAATCCTGCAAAAGAAGCTGAACATCTTCATATTCGAGCTCACAACAAGTCTCATTGGATGGTCATGTAAGCGTTAATCTTAATGATGATAACAACGAGATCGAAGAAATATGCCCGCCTCCTCCTCCAATGGGAAGTGACAAAATAAAAGCTCGAGCAAAAGGAAAAAGAAAAGTAACTTTTCAAATTCGTTAGTCAGAACCGAGCAGTCAGTTAGATTGGAAAAAATGATGACATAAATGGCACAATTGAATTCAACTTTGGAGAGGCATATCGTTGAAACCGTCTGACTCACATAGAATTCGTTGTTAATGCAAGATGTGAGACATCTCGACCCCGAAGATCAAGAGGCGGCTAAAGCAGTGAAGCAGTCGATTTGCGAAAAATATAAACTAAACCACAAATGAAATTTCGATGTCGTGTTTTTTTCTAGGGTTTTTTATTTTATTTTAAATTTCACTTCATTTTTTTAGGTTTCTAATGTAATTTTTAATTTGATGTTATTTTATATTTTTAGGATTTCTAAAATGTAATTTTTAATTTTATGTTACTTTTAGTATGGGTTTTACAAAAGTTATTATTTTTTATTGAAATTTGAAAATATATATATATATATATATATATATATATATATATATATATATATATATATATATAATAATAAATAAATAAATAAATAAAAAAAAAAAAACTCATAGGTAAACCATTTACCACACCCTAGTCCATAGGTGAAAATTGTAAAAACCATGAAAGTTGGTATGGCGTCTACGTGACACCTTTTTACCATTGGTAAAAAATGCACCACGGCCCTTAGCCTAAGGTCATATACAATCTCGTCCCATTAACATGAGGTGCTAGTTCAAGTCTAGCTTGTTTTGTTTTATTTTGTTTTGACTTGTCTTGTGTAACAAACAAACGAGTATAGAATACGAGAGTAACGCTCATGTATTTATATAGTTTTTCCATCATGCATCATATTACATCATAAAAATGGAACAAAAAAATAAAAAATTTATAAATTTCATATACTCGTGCAGTGGTGATCATGATCTACGTGTTCCTTACACCGGAACTGAAGCATGGACACGATCGTTAGGCTACAAGGTTATCGATGAGTGGAGGAGTTGGAAGGTCGATGACCAGATAGCAGGGTATTTTTTCCTTACCAAATAAAAAAAAATACTTTCCTAAACATAAATGAGAACATATAGTATATTGTTACGATGTGAGTGATACATTTATGTTTAAATATTTCTCCTCATCGCAGATACACACAAGGATATGATAAAAATCTCACGTTTCTCACGGTCAAGGTTTGTCACACAAAATTTAGGATGCATGTAATAAAATGTTTGAAGATGTGCAATTTGAATGCTTTTCATATCCAAGTGCATTTTGCTTTATTAGGTCGTCCCGAGCATATATCCGAAACACTTTTTTTGCAAAACAGTAAACACTATTTTGCAAAACAGTATGACACTGGAACGAACTAAAGTGCATGTTTGAAACATAAATTAGAAATAATATAAGATGAGAGGAGATTAAACATTTAAGCAGTGGAGAGGGACTACTTGCTAATTAGGCTAAATGCTCATATGTTCATTTGAAGTTGATTATATGTTTGATCTGATGTAGGGCGCGGGGCATAGGGTACCCGAGTACAAACCTAAAGAAGCATTGGTGTTTACTCCCGTTGGTTAGAGGGAAAGAAAATATAGGAAAAACCCGTTGATAAGCGTGCTTGTTAATTTAAGTATAATTTGGTAAATTGGTGTTATAGGGAAAAGAAACAGGCAACCTCATGTACAATAAAACAAATCAAATTATCTTTGTTATGAAGGCCGGTTATGGTTTGACATTTAGATTGTTGTTATCGGGCTGGTTCAGAGATTTTAAGAACCTTGTGCAAGAAAAAAAAATAGGGTCCTCAATACAATTTTTTGATATATAAGGAAAACAAACTTAAAACGGTGAAGTATCGTTACGTAAAACTTAAAAGTAAATAAATTAATTAAAAAGGAACATATTGAATTTTATAAAAAGTTCGAACGGTTAATTACTTAACTTCTGAAAACTGATTTTTTAAACATAGGATAAAGTAATGATCAAAACTGTAACTTGAAATTAAAATATCAAAATGTTGTGCACAAGAATCGAACCACCTACACTTGATTCAAAAGAGAGGATGCGCTTATGCCAATTGACATAAAATAATGGTTAAAACTGTAATTTGAATTAAAATATCAAATGTTGTGCACAAGAATCCAACCATCTATGCTTGATTCAAAAGAGAGGATGAGTTTATGCTAATTGAGCTACCAAGTTTTTAAGCAAAACCTTGAATAAATTCATATATATATATATATATATATATATATATATATATATATATATATATATATATATATATATATATATATATATAGGTTCAGGTTCATTTAAAACCATTCTAATTTTGTGAGACCGTGAGACCAAATTTAAAAATAATTTTAAAATGCAAAATAAATGGAAAAATCCAAAAATTCTTTTTTTAAATATTATTTTTGGAACTTGAATTAACTAAAAAAATATAAAAAAATATAAAAAAATAAAAAAAATTCCGTTTTTTTTTTGAAAAATACGTGAAATATTCTAAATAGAATATTACACTGACATATTCTAAAAAATAATTTTAAAATGCAAAATTAATGGAAAAATCTAAAAATTCTTTTTTTAAATATATTTTCGGAACTTGAATTAACTAAAAAAAATAAAAAAATAAAAAAAAATTCTATTTTTTTTGAAAAATACGTGAAATATTCTAAATAGAATATTACACTGTACATATTCTAAAAATAATTTTAAAATGCAAAATAAATGGAAAAATCAAAAAATTCTTTTTTTAAATATTATTTTCGGAACATGAATTAACTAAAAAAAATAAAAATAAAAAAATAAAAAAATAAAAAAATGCGTCTCACGGTCTCACAAAATATAGGTGGTCTCAAATGAACCTAACCCTATATATATATATATATATATGTATATATATACATAACTTAATTAAAACCCAGGCTCTATTTTTTTCGGGGCCTTGTACGGCTACACCTCTTGCCCACCTTTAAAACTGGGCCGGTGGTTATTTTCACCATATTATACTATACATTTTGAAAGTTTTTACGGTTTTGTTTCATTAAGTGGTATTTATTAACTTGTAATACATATATCGCATTAAACACATAATGTATTCGGTAGTAATGTGTAGGGCTATAAACGAACATAACGAATATGAACGGAGGCTTGTTCATGTCCGTTTGTTTAAGTTAGCCGAACAAATGAATGAACACGAATGAATAAACAAACAAGTTTTCTTGTTCATGTTTGTTAATTTAACAAATTACATTGTTCATGTTCGTTCATTTATATTCGTGAATATGTTAAACGAACTTAAATGAACGAACATAAATGAACAAAGATAAATAAACATAATTGAACATATGAACATATAATGTAGTAATGTAATCAAACATAATTAATCATATATGAACACAAAATGAACTTATATATATGAACAAACATAAACGAACATAAGTGAACAACATACATGAACGTTCATGAACATAATTAAACGAACATGACTATTTTTCATGTTTGTTCGTTTAACTAACCGAACGAGAATTTGTGTTCATGTTCGTTAATTTATTAAATAAACAAACTTCTCGTCGAACGTTCTGTTTGTTTCACGAACAGTTTGTTGAATGTTCAGTTCGTTTACAACCCTAGTAATGTGTGTTACCTTATGTTGGTATAACATGACTATGAGGCCAAGAACTATGCACTCCACACCAACTTCAAGCTTATCTTCATAAATGACTCGGTTTGTAATACATCATCAGCATTTACCAAATTTTGAACTTCATCTTGTTATAAAATAAAGAATAAACCATAATAAACACAATCAAACAACATGATATATATATATATATATATATATATATATATATATATATATATATATGTCTATGTTATTTTGTTTTTACAAACTATTGTGTGTCAGAATGCACAGATCTGGACCAACAGATGGAATTAATCAATGGACATGATTTGAGAATGTATGATATTACAATGGGATAATATGTATTATATAATCATACAAATTTTAGCAAAAGGGTATTTTGGACAATTAACTACATTTATAAAAGGAAATTTTTAGATTTTTAGGGATAATTAGTTCTCCTAATTTTAAAAATCTAAATTTTTTAATTAATTCAATTTTAATTCTAACGTAATTTGTAAACATAGCCGATTTTATTCTATCAGAATGTTTTTTTGTTATGATGATGTTCTTTCAGAATTTTATTCTATTAGATTATTATTGAAGAATAACAAATTTCTTCAATCCGAGATTGAAAAATAATAACATTCTAATATATTCTTATACATCCGAACTTAAATACAAATTCATACATATTCTTACAAACTAAAAGTCTTATACATTTTTATATAATTATATATATTCTAAAAGAATATCAACAAAAATGAATAAAAGTCTTAAGAAATAACAACATTCTTAACTTGTGAGTATGATCAAACTTTATTCATTCTTCAAGTTATTCATATTAGGTCTTCAACGCATTCTTCCAGTCATTCCTATCACAAATACAACAAAAACTAATAATAGTTACAAACATGTTACTTGCAATTAACTATCACTTTATATATTCTAGTAGAATACATAAAATATATCATAATACATTCTGGCATAATATATAGATTTTATTTTGGCAAAATACATTCTGACAAAATACATAGAATACCTTCAAAAGTATTGTATTTACTGCTAATATAATTTTAGATTCCAAATATATAATATCGAGTGACAATAGAAATTGAAATTCAAAATCACAAATTGAACCAAAATAATACACAGACACATTAATTACCTTATTAAACAATTACATAAAAGATGTGTTGCTAGTAATTCTAACATAATCCATACCACAAGGTTAAATTCTTTAGATTCTCTTTCGGGAATTTCAACAAACACTTGTTAAGCATTATTATCAAAAAAATCAAAATCATCTGAAAGACTTAGTGTGATCGGAAGCAAAATAAAACAAAGCATAAATTATTTAGAGAACATCAAAGTTTAAGTTTTTCGATACCAAATAAAAACAAAGAAGACGAACCTGGTTGAGATTGGTAATACCATAAAAAAGAATTAGGGGAAGCATCATTAATTATGAATCTTGGCCAAAGGAATCATAATATTAAAAGGCTTCACAGATCGACCAATAGGTCCACACACCACTTCATGATTATCAAGAAAACACCCAAATAAAATCACGTCTATCAAACGATCCCTACAAGGTTAATTCTCGATTCTTATTTCTATTTCTGAAGTCTTTCCCTCCGGTGCTCCTTTCATCTTTGGCCATGGGTGGTTTAGGATCGATCGCATAGCACGAAGAGTCGGCGATGGAGATGATGACGATGGTGGTCGGTAGCCAAGATGATGATGGTTGTGGACAATGGTTTTTCGAGAAAGAAAGGGAAAGGGTAGTGGTGTTATAGGGTTGTAAAACTGATAACCTGATTTAAAGGGGATATTATTTGATTTTACCAATTTACCATAATTAATTATGGTATGCACTACTATTATACCCTTATATTTATTATTAATGATTTATTTTTTCTTAAATTCTCATTGGCTCATACATGCACACAATAATTGTTAGAAACATTTGAACATATCTCTCTCTCTCTCCTTATATATATATATATATATATATATATATATATATATATATATATATATATATATATATATATATATATATATATATAAAGCGGAAACCTAAAACCGAAAGAAAAAAACTCTAGTAAACGACTCTTATTGCAAGGCCACATGACTGATAAATCTTCAAGGAGAAGGGAGAGAAAGAAAATGTAATGGAATAAATAAAAGCTAATATCTAAGTACTTTTACATAGAGTTTTACAAAAAAAATTCCTAACCCAACTAAAACTCCTAAGAATCATAAAAGTTTCTCAACTAAGAAGAACTCCTAAATATAATCTAATAACTCATTATTATTTCATATTTAGAGATATAAAGCAACCTGCCCTCTTCCTTCATTTTATATCTCGGGTAATTGGATATGAATCGGGTCTGAGTTATAACCCACGGATCAAACCCGCGTGTTTCTGTTGCATAAGGTGTTTAAGTCTATAACTATATTTGGTATGTACCTGACCTGGTTTAGCATGGTCCATTTGGGTTACATGGCATCATAATAATTGGATAGACAAATGAGAAAAGGATACTTATGATTTGTTAATATATTATAAGTTCTAATATATTAATATGAAATCATATTATTTAATTAGTATTGATCAAGAATTAATTTTGTGATCAAAAGAGACTAATTAAATATATGGGGATTGACTGTATAAATCTTTCATTCTTATATAATGGGCTTATGATCCATGATTCATTATGTTGGGCTAAAACCCATAGGGTGATCCATGGATGCTCCATGGAGGTTAAAACCCATGGATCATGGAGAATTTGAAAAGTCATGGACATTAGGGTTTGCATGGTGTAACCCTAATTGCATCACACTATATAAAGGAGCTCCATGCTAAAAAAAATCGGCACTTAAGATACAAGAGTGAGGGTTAACCGAATTTTTGGTGCAAGCATTTGAGGCATCACACTTGGGGTGCTAGGCTCACAAAGTCTTAAGGAATCCAAGCTACAAGGATGGTATGTCATTTTACTAGTTTTTGTATTACATGTATCTCATGATATGCTAGTTAGGATGAAAACCTTGGAGAATCAAATTTTGCATGTATAATAGAGA